CTATAAACTAAATAAAAAACCTAATAATACAACAAAACCCAACGAAAATGAAAACATACAAAACAAATGGGCCACTTTTACATACATAGGTAAAGAAACCAAATTCATAACTAAATTATTTAAAGAAAATAAAATAAAAACAGCATACAAAACTAAAAACACAATAAAAAACATCCTCAAACAAAAACCAATTACAAACATAAACAACCAATATCAACTACCAGGTATATATAAATTGAAATGTAAAGATTGCCCTCTAATATACATAGGTCAAACAGGTCGCACCTTCACACAAAGATACAAAGAACACATAGCAGCCATAAAACACAATAAAGATAGTTCTGCATACTCTAAACACATTCTCAATACAGGACATGCATATAATACAATCAATGAAACAATGGACATAATGAAAATAGTAAAAAACAAAAGACATAGGGACACAATAGAAAAATATTACATATATCAAAATTATAAACAAAATTTATGCCTCAATGATAATGGTATTGAACTCAATAATCCTATCTTTAAAACACTTCAGTACCTTGACCCCAACCCGGACAAACCACCTTTCACCCACTAGCCCCACAGTCGTTTACCAGCCCCAATCCTGTGTAGTTCAGTTTCTTCATTCACTTACTACGAGTGGGATATTACTTCTTGGGTGAGTTTACATGTTTGTTTTTATTTTTATTATTTATTATTTTTATTATATTTACTATTTTACCAATTACTTTTACCAATTATTTTGTTTTCTATATTCTATATTCTCAATTTTTAATTGTCATTAATGGAATTAAAACTTTACTTCACAGTCACAAAAAATGATGCCAACACAAAGTACAAAAATATAAACCTAGTAATGACTAATGATAGCACAAAAACAAGAAACGGTAAAGAACAAGAACACCATCAAGAATGAAGACAGTGAAATATGAATAACGTTAAAAATCAGTAAAATGGTGATCGGTTTATACTGCATACACCCGTCGATGGCTGAATACAGCAGAAACTAGTAGTGTATTTAAATGATGTTTTAAATCTTTTAATATTATTTTATTATTATAATTGTGAGTGACTGTAATTTTTAATATATATTTCAACTTTGCTATAATTAAGTCTTTTAGATTCTCCCTTGCTGTCCAGGTGAGCTGTATGCATGGGGCATGGGCTATGCAGGTCAACTGGGGACAGGCAAAGAAGAGGACGAACATACACCACAGATAATCAAAGGAAAGCTATTAAAGTCATGCCTTGTGCTGCATGTCTCTGGCGGTGGGCAACACACTGTAGTACTGGCCAAATCAGTCAACCAACAGCTTTAACATATACGGAATTTTACTTTCTTTCACTACATTTTAGTATTAGTAGTATTTTATATAGTTGTTTGATTTCTAATTTTATTTATAATGTTTCAGCTTTGTATTTTATTAATGGTATATTTGGGTTATTTCCTTGTATTTTAATTTTAGCGTAATTTGGTATTATTTTATTTTTTAAGCATATTTATTATTATAATAGTACAAAATAAAAGACATAGAGACACAATAGAAAAATATCATATACAGCAAACATTTAAACAAAACATTTGCCTAAACGATAATAATATTTACCTTAATAACCCCATCTTTAATGCCCTTCAGAAGCTTGACCCCACCCCCAACAACCACCTTTCACTGACCTTCCCTACAAGCAACCGCGATCAGTAGTGAGCCACATCTGTTCAGATACGTTAGTGCTTCCAGACACATTAAGATGTTTCTACACTCTCATCTTTGGTATGTTCAATTTTACTTTCCAATATATTATTTTGTTTCTATATTCTTTCATATTCATTACTATTTCTTTAAATCATTTGTATTACAGGCCGATGTAGAACATCAAAAAACATGCACTCCAATTTAAAAAAAAATGAATCTGGAAGTGAACATCACCAAAAAATGTTGCATATCAGAAATTGTAATTAAGTTTTAAGTTTATAATTTTAACTTTTACACCTGAAGATGGTTTATATAGAAACCGAAACATGTTGTAAAAAGATGTTCCAATTGTAAATCGATTGTTCGATGAGGAACACAAAATGATATTTTAATTATCTTAATTGTAAATTTATATATGAATTGTGATTAGACGGACAAAAACCGAATAATTAATACAATTTTAAATTAAGTTTCGTTCATTTAATGCTTTTCTTTGTATGGCACATTCCTAAATTGTAATGCAGGATGTGCATATGTCAGTTGCTAACTGAAGACCAAGTTTCCTGCTACAGTATCACTTGCATTCCCAGTTCCTACTTCCTCTTATAATCACGATAAAGGCAAGAATAAATTGGTATTGGCCAGAACAATTAGCTTCTTGTGACTGCAAACTTAGAAGACACTTCTGCAAGCATACCTGCTACTCGATTACCACCCTCTTGCTCAATACCACTCGACCGACATAAATCTCTCTTGAAAGCACTGAATCTTTACAGTCTTCAGAGTCAGAATTTGAGTTCTGTGGTAGGTCATGCACTGTCTCCTCCTGTATCACTATGTTTCAGTAATTGTGAAACACAGTTCAGAATGTAATATGGACATCCAAAGATTCTGCAATTATTTATTGTCATTCAGTATTCATACCTCACCCTCAGCCTATCTCCAAAATGCACTAAGAAAGCAAAGGTGGCTTGAAACAAGAGAAATTATGATTCTTTCTTTTATGACAAATGTATTTCGATAAACATTAAATGTTCCAATGTTCCAAAAACTTCATCAGTATATGGGAAAGTTACCTTTAATTTTGGGACTGACAAATAAAGCTGTTCCTCTTCAGTATGGCATACCATTAATGAAAAGAGAATGCAAATTTATTATTTTAGTACAGGACACAGCAGTACTAGATTTGACTTTCATGTTGGGAGTTGTCTCTACTTCCAAAATATGCAACCAGTACTTCAAATATACCTTGGACATCAAAACATATCTGTATAATGAATCACTCAGTCACAAATGTTTGAGGAATTCGCATGTCAGTCACATAAGTTATAATGAATATTTGTCATTACTACTGCTAGGCTATAGGGATACAAGAAATTAATCTGTCTTGTACAGCTGAAATAATCCTTACAAAACACAACAAGTTCCAGATTTGTGCGTTTCACGATCTGAAAAAGCGAAAAACGAGAACAGCAAATATCAGCCTGTAACTTTGTGAATTTTAATCGTGCCATAGTGTGTCTTTAAACTAGGCATTATCTGACTCTAAAGAACGTTTCTATGAAGACAGGAACGTACCACTTTAAGTTTATGAACCAGTTCATTCTTACATTTTTAGAAGGTTTGGTAATGCAGCCGCAAACAGATCATTCGCACAATATGTTCTCTGAGCAGTGAAGCTAAATACTGATTGTATTATATCGTTAAAACATAATTTATGAAGGAACATTACGTTCAAGTTGCATCTTGGTTGAATGACTTGCAACTCTTACTTCTTTCTGAGCGCTAAGCCTGTATCTGGTTTGAGACCCTCCATACGCAGAGAGTGAAATCTGATGATCTTGTGATTATCATATCTGGGTCAAGGGGGCACCACACACAGCAGTATACATGGCTAGAGTGTAAGCAAAAGTTGGCAACTGCTTGCTGACATGGCGCATTCCAAACCTACGGAAACACGGGCAAAGCATAAAGTCACAAATCCTATAAAATGCTTTCATAATTAAAATTCATTAGACCATCGCATATGCATTAGTACATAAAATGCTAATTTTAAAGCTGCAATGGATATGAAATTAATTCTCTTACTTTGCTTGATGGGCCTAACTTGCAAGCAGTCAATCAATCCTAGGAGCAGGACACTGTGGGAGTACTTACAACCTATGTATAGAGAAATATTAGATCAAAGAGATGAGACAACTGTCCACATTCAGAAATGGCAGGAAATAAAATATGTTCCCTCAATATTCATTTTTATTCCAATCTTTAAATTGTTCAGATTAATGGATTACCTAAGACACTGTAAAGTAATTCTAAAGAACTATCTAGAAAGAGAATGTATGGGCTAACATTTAACAGATCTTCAAAAGTAATGAATGCAGAAGGCCATCTACAAATTGATGAAATACGGAGCAAAGGAATCTATTGTGCGATCTGGTATGACAGATCCTTGAACATGCGTCTGTCAAACCTACCTCAATTAACAATTTTAATAATGAATTTGGATAGAAACACTGCCACCATAACACAATGCGTATTTCACCTATATAGACCACATGCTGCATATGGTTGGTCAGCACTTTCATTTCGCATTTAGGAGGCCCATAACAAAGAAGTTACGCGTCATTTTCCTTAGTCTCTCATGTCACATACTGGTATAATACTATCAAATAGATGTCAACCACCAAAGCCTTACCTAATCACCATTCATGGAAAATCTTTCCACCATTCAATGCCGCATTAACTCCGAAGTACAGTGCCACTAATTAAATAAATAATCAATCAATGTAATAGCACACACAGTTATAAAGTGTGCCTGTGCTGTATGATCATAAGAGATCGACACCAATTGACCTCCTGTGTGGGGGCTCCAGCACATGCTGATAACTCGACTCAAGTGTCCAAATATTCCGCTCAGTAGTTTGTTACAAACATCTTCAATCGATACTCTTCCCTCACAAAAACCAAGTTTCAGATCCACATAAAGAAGGACAAACAATTGTAATTTTATAAACTGAGCATTTTCATAAATACATGAGAATCTGACAAATCCCTTAACATTGTGGTTTTAATTGTCAGAGCTCTGCAGAACAAGCAGCATGCATACTGTTATAGTGTAACTAATGATTACATCTAGACTATCAGGCTCCAACTTTTATCATACAAGACCGTGTCCATTGTCCTATTCAGTCTCTATATTTACACTCATAAACAACTCACCTTCATCAGGGCTAACAGAATCATATTGTACCGCTTCTCCATCGCCACAGGAATACAATGAAGTACCACTTGCAACTGCAACATGAACTGGTCATGTACTTTCAAACAGACCATTCCTAATCATTCATACATGTCTGTGGCTGATTCAAATCAAAATAATCAATGAATCTAACAGAGTCACTACTCACAAAGTAATACCTGTTTCCCAGATTTTCTTCTGATGTTTGAGCACTTCAAACTGTTCTGTTGTTGCCAGAACCAATCACACCCCTTGTCCTGAACTTCCAGAGTTGAGGCTGTTGTTACTGTAGTAAGACTTAATGCTGCTGTTACATTTTGGAGATACCAACTCACTGTCAGTTTCCTTATGACGATCAGCACCTGTGTAAGTTAAATCATGGTATCTTGCAGAGAGAAATAAGCAGTAATTGATGACTGTCCAAAAAAAAATTAGAGGTTAACTTTTGAAACAAATAATCATTATTTCAAATTAATTAACAAAATAATTACTTAAAATTATACAATTTTCACTAACATTCATAATAAAACCCTTTACATTTAAGGCAATCTTAACAAGACTAATCTCTACAACAACACCTGTATCACTGAATTCAGAATTCAATAGATTTATCTTATTATGTATATACAAAAATATTCAGAATCTAAGGGATAACTGTAACCCACGAAAGGAATTGGGGGTGAAATATATAGAGATCAATCTCATATTTTCTGCTAATTGTTAAAAACAGTGTTACATGCTCTATTTAGGTGAAAGTAACTTGATGTAAATTCCAGAGCTTGTCGCCCCTGAGCAATCCTTGACAGGTCGTTGACTAGTCTGCAGTACAAAATAACAATCTTTTAGCAGTATAGATAGGTTTGTTATACACAAATATTTTATTTTTCCCCACCACTACCATTGTGTGCTTCAATTTTCCATCATCTTCATGGTGTTCACATGCAACAGGGTTACTACGTAATGTAAGTGTAAAGTGTTCTTGGCCATTTAAACTAATTTTAAAACACACACACTGAATGCTTTTTTTTAAATAAGTGACCTACCAAAATGTAATACAGAAATGTTCTGCAGAACAGAACAATGTGATGATGCTACACAAAAGCAAACAAACACAGAGCAGGGTTGTCAAAACAAATATACAAGACAGGCACATTTTTAAACCAGAGTTTTGTGTACTGCTGTAACGATCTGAAATCTGTGCCTCACGAGTGCCTAGTGACTGCCCTTGCATCAAGGCCCACTACATCCAAGACATGCCAATAACTCTCACTTTGTATCACGTTTTTCAACAAATGTGTTGCAAGTAATACCCAGAAATCAATGTTGAGGAATCTATAAAAACATGTCCAGATGTCAGTCATGAGGAACACACCCCAAGATATCCAGAATATGAAGAGATGTGGCAATAATTAACACAACACTTTTACATAAAATTTCTTGTGTGCATTTCTTGTCCATATTTTCAAACCAAACCTAACCTAACAAATTAATTATGCACTCAGAACAGTACATGTGGCAAGACAAGGATATCTCCCACCATAATGAACTGTAAATTTCCTTAGTAGTTTCAATGCACGAGAGACTGGGTGCAAAGTTCATTAATGCCCATCCCTTTCTTGTTTCACCTCAGAAGCTACAGGAAATATATGCTTGTAAATAGAACAGGCACAGAAAAGACTTCCTGATCATCTCAATCTCAACATACGTTATGAATTAACAGTGGTTTTAACATTAAACAGATTACACACCCTCATAGCCCATTTCCTTAATTATCCTCCCATCTATGCCTATGTCTCCCAAGTGATCTTCTCCATTTAGGTTTCAACAACCAAATTTAGATGTACATAAGTCATGACCTCGTCATGTAACGTTTTGTTTAAAATTGTTTCTCACTCTACTGAAAATTATGAAACATCATTCTAATTTCTTGATATAGTATTGTTTGGTAACATTTTATATAACTTTACTTGAGGAACGGTAGTCCCACAGTATGGCAAAAATTCAGTATGTGAAAAAATTATATGGAAACTTATTTAACTATACAGATTTGAAGCTGTAGAAAGAATAGAATTTATTTACATTCTATGGATCCTTCATGGACCTAAGCCAAAACGTAGAACATGTCATAGCACACATACAATATTTGTTTCTAACACAAATATAAATTACAAATAGTATTAAAAATATATTAAAATTGGCCGTCAATCACAATATAAGATAATTAAAAGATTAAAATATCATTTTACGTTCCGTATCGAGTACTCGATTTACATATAAATTTTATAAATTTATAAATTACAAAGTAATGACAGTAATTTACAGTCAACTACAACATTGCCACACAAAAAAGCATAACCAGTACTTATAATAGCTGAACTTTTTGGATGGAGTAAAGTCTTCTATAGAGAAGGAGTGAGATAGGATGCATAAATATACCGAAAAAACTTGATAAATCAGTGCGTTCCTTCTTTAACAACGAGAATACTACCTTGTCCTTCATTTCTTGTCAGCTGTTTTCCGGTCATCGCCCGTATACGCGAGTCGAGCAGATTTAAAACCAAATGCAAACAACAACACCTCACATATTATTACAACTCCAACTGTAAAAGCATACTGTGTGTTGACAACCTACGATAATTCCATCTTGTGTAAATTTTCCACGCATTCACGTAAACAAATCACTGGTTTTCGATGTAATATATGTGGACTCGTACGAAAGGTCACTGTGACCAACGTGGTAAACTGATGCGATGTATACTTTAGGGATAATGTCTAAGTGAAATATCGCAAGCTAATATATTATATTTTATCAATTTCAAATATTCCACTTTGCCTATAACTGCTAGAAAATGTTTAGTTTGGGAAGAGTTGCATTGAAGCATTAGTTAATATGAAAGAAACTTCCATGCTTGAGTGTTGGTAATGAAAGTAAATCGACATTCTGACTGATTAATAAAGCGTGTTATTAAAACATATGTTTTCACATTATAAAAAACATACATGTTAGATTAATTAAATTCTATTGGTCTGATGTTGAGGATAATTGGCGAATTAAGAAACAATAGTTTCAAATTTTACTACAGTATTACTTCCGTTAAAAATGGCTGCCTATGTTTATTAATTAGAATAATGTCGTTTTTGACATGTTTATTGTGATCGCTCTAGAAAAGATACTTAGCGACAAAGGTATAAAGCGGTCACACCATCTTGGTGTAAGTTGTTATTGTGTAAGTTTCTCGTTCTGTTTTGAATTATATTAACAGAATTTATTTAAAAACACTTTTGGTTTTAAGTGCATGATTTTTCTTGCAGCAAAGACTGCACAAACACGTGACAATATAATAATATTTACTCACTTCATAGAATCTTATTTTAATCTGTCACAAATGTGGATGATAAACACAATGATTCCTACCTTTCACTGCTGCCTAATGCTGTGTGTAAGTCTGCACAGGTGAGTCCGAATGGAGATTCCAAACATTGAGGCGATTGTCATTGGCTCTGCTTGTCTGGAGACCACTTCAAGCCGCAAACTTTTAAACAAAAGATATTTATAGTAATTGCAATGGATGACAATAATTTTAAAACATATTTTTCAGCTCTCAACGATAACAGCAAAATTTCATGTGAGGTTCTGACTGTGGTGGGGATGTTGATGCTGTTCTTCTGGGTCATGATGCAATGTGGAGTTGAACTGTCTTTATCTTCAGAGCTGAAGATTGAAATTGTATGTATCTCCAAAAGTCTGGTGTCTATGTGAGTCCACATGGTGTCACAGTCCAAAAACACAATGACACTATTTTGCAATAATAACAAAATTAATAACATTTAAATGATTTTCTACTAACCTCGTGTTGATGACCAATCAACCTTCTCTCTGGAACAAGACTAGGAGTTCTCACATCACATTGTAAGATAAGTCCATCCCTACTTCCTGACAACACATCACCACCATTCCAAGCAAGCGATCCAACTCTGTCTGGATGGGTCAGCAGCTCATTAACTTGGGAATTTACGGCAACGTCCCAGACTTGCACGTAGCCATGATATGTGCCAATTACCAAGAAATTTTCCTACAAATACAAAACACCAGGTCATAAATGTGTCCAATAATAAGTCAGTCCTAAATTATGTCAGAGGTGATATGATGTGTTATATGTTTGGTAACATTTCCTGGTCAGAATATGCAAATTCTTACCTATTATCTACAGCTGCTGCAGAATATGGCAATAATGTTTCATTTATATAACATTATGACATCATGGTACATGAGAATCCAGACAAATACATTTTCCTTGCAAGTCTTCGTGGGTGGATAGCCTATATATATAACGCCTCCGGAACTGGCCCCATCTCATACCCACCTTGAATGTGTGTTACTGCAATGTTTGCAAAAATTACTGTTAACACTAAACAACTGACATGGCTCTCACCCACAAGCCAAAGTTATACAGACAAATGCAAGTATCATGAAATAAACATGGCTACTTCTGGGCAAAAATCTCTATATGACAAACTACTAAAATTTTGGGCTTAGTCTCCCTCACTTGGCAGGCGGAGGACATAATTCTTTTCCACCTTCCACCAGAAGGTCTGGAACAAGAAATCCAAATTCTCCAGATTTCTCTTAATGCACACAACAGTGAACTTCAGAAATAACAAGGTGCTTCCTTTGTCACGGACATAAAACATAAAATGAAAAGCAGAAAGAACAAACAGAAATGGGGTTAGCATTTGTGTTGTGTACCAGACACGGGAAAAACCGTGTAAGTACAGTGTGGGTTCGAATAACGTTGGTCGAGCGGATTTTGATTGGTTGGTTGGTTGGTTATTCGTCGCCGATTGAATAAGTACTGCAGAGAGTTGACTCGTACAAGGTTTTATTACTAGTAAATAGTAAATTACACTAGTTGGCTGCGTAAGGCTATCGCAGTGGCCGACTCTGAACTGAAGTGCCGTCGTGAAGACTGACTCGTAACAGATCTAAAAGAGTGTTGGGTAATGCTCTTGCTGGTGTATATATATTGGTCAGCAAGGGCGTATCCCGGGTACAATATGTGAACTTTTGTACTCTGTACTGATACTTGTCTCACTCCCGGACCTTAGCTGATGCTTATTTTGAAATGATTGTGGGGTGACAGTGTCAAAGTGTCACCATTTCCTTTAAAAACAACCCAATTATCAGGCGGGGATAGCATCGGTGAAAGTCCGAGTTACAAAACAGTGTTCACATACAGGGTTTACTGAGATATACCAATATTATATTATTATTCATATACAACATTTGACACTGATTTGAGATGGGTACAAGGAAGACGAGTAGAAGCAGAATTGCAGGATCAACAAGAGCCCAAATTTCGGAAAACTCAAAATGTGGACTTTGGCAACTTTCAGAATTCAGAACAGAAGTCCACAGACTTTCTGGGAATGAGACAAGCTTGAGGAAAGTTACTTTATGACAGGCAATAAAAAGCCAAGTCAGACAAATAACAGCCCTTTCCTGTGTTGCTCTAAAAGAAAGGGAACTTCTTTTGCTCTAGCTCAAAGGCAAATTCTACAAGTCATATGTTAGCTACAGTTGAACAAAACCTCCAATAATACAGTATAACAAAGCACAGTAATAGAGTGTTAAAGGGGAAGAGACTATGGAAAGCCCATGAAATATTGGCCACCTAATAACAGGATCTGCTCTCCAATAAACAAATGTGTCAATTGTAAACTAACAGTTACGTCATATAGTATTCTAGTGACGGGTGACCAAAGTCTGCATCTACTTTAAGCACTGCATGATAATTTTCCTATACAAATAATAATGCATTTATGCACAACACATACTTTAAAGATTAACAACAAACATAGCAATAACCAAATTCAAGATTTCTGAGATAGTATAGCTACATCATATTGTGATATTAATTAAAATAATTATTATATTTGTTTACCGTTAAATCACAATAAAATAGTAAGATAAGATAATTAAAATGATTAAAATATCATCTTATGTTCCATATCGAGCATTCGATTTACATCGGAACATTCACAACATGTTTCGGTTTATCAAACCGTCATCAGGTGTAAATTATAAACTTTTAAACCCAAATTACAATTATTTATAGTTTTTACAATTTTATAATTTTATCATCTTTCTCAGTATATTTTAGGAAGTTGTGTCTAGATATTATTAATATAACATTATTGTTGAGGTGGTGTTATTGATGTAAATCGAATGCTCGATATGGAACATAAGATGATATTTTAATCATTTTAATTATCTTATCTTACTATTTTATTGTGATTTGACGGTAAACAAATATAATAATTATTTTAA